ATAGAATAGAATAGAGAATAGAATAGAGAATAGAGAATATAATAGGAAAATAGAATACAATAGGAATAGAGAATAGAGAATAGAGAATAGGGAGGAGAAGAGAGAATAGGATAGAATAGAAAATAGAATAGGAATAGAGAATAGAATAGGAATATCAAATAGAATAGAGAATAGAATAGAGAATAGAGAATATAATAGGAAAATAGAATACAATAGGAATATAGAATATAGAATAGAGAATAGGGAGGAGAAGAGAGAATAGGATAGAATAGAAAATAGAATAGAATAGGAATAGAGAATAGAATAGAGAAGAGGAGAGGAGAATAGAGAATAGAGAATAGAATAGAGTATAGAGAATAGAATAGGAATAGAGAAGAGAAGAGAGAAGAGGATAGAATAAAAAATAGAATAGAATAGGAATAGAGAATAGAATAGGAATATCAAATAGAATAGAGAATAGAATAGAGAATAGAGAATAGAATAGGAATAGAGAATAGGGAGGAGAAGAGAGAATAGGATAGAATAGAAAATAGAATAGAATAGGAATAGAGAATAGAATAGAGAATAGAATAGAGAAGAGGAGAGGAGAATAGAGAATAGAGAATAGAATAGGAATAGAGAATAGAATAGGAATAGAGAAGAGAAGAGAGAAGAGGATAGAATAAAAAATAGAATAGAATAGGAATAGAGAATAGAATAGGAATATCAAATAGAATAGAGAATAGAATAGAGAATAGAATAGGAAAATAGAATAGAATAGGAATAGAGAATAGAATAGAGAATAGAGAATAGAATAGGAATAGAGAATAGGGAGGAGAAGAGAGAATAGGATAGAATAGAAAATAGAATAGAATAGGAATAGAGAATAGAATAGAGAAGAGAGAAGAGGAGGAGAGAGGATAGGATAGAATAGAAAATAGAATAGGAATAGAGAATAGAATAGGAAAATAGAATAGAATAGAGAATAGAATAGGAATAGAGAATAGAATAGAGAATAGAGGAGAGGAGAAGAGAGAATAGTGAATAGAATAGAATTTGGAATGGAATGGAATAGAATTTGGAAAAAAGACTTATGACTGTTTTTTTCACACTTAAGGCTGTTGGATCATCCCCGTGGTCTTGTGGCCAAAATCCAGGCGCTTGGGCAACTGATTCATATTTATGACCCTTTTGCAACCTTCTGACAAGCAAAGTCAATGGGGAAGTCCTCTTCGCTTAACAACTGGCTTACTGATTTATCGACTGCAATGATTCACTTAACAACTGTGGCAGGTAAGGTTGACAAAATGGGGCAAAACTCACTTAACCCGAGTTCCATCCGACCAACCCTTTAGCTTGGTTTGAAAAAGCCATGAACCATGGCCATCAAGCCTCTCTTATTTTTTTCTTTCCAGAATTGGTTTCTAAAAATAGGAAAGTAGATGCTGATATCCCAGCGTATACAATACCGCAAACTTCCCCAAGATGTTGGTTTTAATGGCCCCTAAATAGCAACCTAATCTGAAGACTTTCATTGAATCAGATTCCAGAGAAAAGTCGTTTGGGGGGAGAGGAATCACTAAGTAGTATTGTTTTCATTGCCAAGTTTTGACCCGACTGAGAAGAAAAAAAGCTGAAATATTAATGAAGGAGAATGAAAAGACTTTTTTTTTTTGCCATTTCATCAGAGCAGAAACCAAAAGTTGTTTTTTAATTAACAAAAAAAAAAAATAACTTTTTTACAATCCTGTTTCCAGCAGATACGTGGCACGACAAAACCGCGCTCGACTAAGCCGCGCCCGATTAAACCGCGTCGCGGATGTCATCAACAGGGCGACAACAGCGTGGAGACAGAAGCACGCTGTAAAC